CACGAGAGGAGCAAGGATGGTAGCAAGGTGTTTTGCAATGTAAAACACCTTGCTACCACAGACTGAACAAGGGACGCAAAACGTTCACAATAAAACAGCGTGGTGATATGACATGTTGGATAGTATTTCATTTGGCAGTTAAGAACAAAATGTTTTACTTTTTTTTTTAACTTCACTTTCAGTTTATGGCTTGCATTTAGTTTCAATGGCCACAATCTCCACATGTCAGCAGCGAGGGTAACTACAAACTGAAAATAATGGTGCTTTGTAAATGCTTCCCTTTTAATGAGATTCAAATTAAAATAAAAAAGATGAAACTTGTCACTGATATAACATCTGAATTTTTAACATTTAACATTTTCAAGTTAAAAGTGTTATTTGTGGTTTAAATGTCATCAGAATCTAGCACCATTTACAAAACCTTGTTGCTAGGATCTTGGGTTATGTGTTTTGATTTTTGGTGGTTTTTGATTTACATTTGGGTAAATAATTAATAATTTATGTTTTAGTTCTATGGTATTTAGTGTCTCTAATTTAATGTCATTTCCTTAATGCTTCTGAATTAGCTTAGCTCTTAGCTCTTTTGTATTAGTGCAAGTTTCCTCTCTTGTCCACAAGCTGTTTGTCTTGTCTCTGTGATTAATCTGCATTTTGTCTCTGTGTTTGTTTGCTCTTTTTCTGAATCAGGTTTGTATCAGTCTGGGTCTTTGTGTTTGTTCCATTCCTGTTTTATTGTGATACTCTCTTGTCTCTTGTGAGTTGTGATGAGTTTACTTGCCACGCTATTCCTGAGTTCCTGAGTGTTTCCTATTTGTCTCCGCTTCCTCTAATCACTCTCTTGTGTCTATATTATCTCAGTCTCCCTTTGTTCTTCGTCAGAGTAAGATTTTCAGTTCAGTTCCCAGGTGTTATTCTGTTTCCTGATCTTCTTCTCCTAGTGTCTTGGGCACTTAGTGAGTTCTGTAGTTTGAACTTGTTTTTCGATTTAGTTTGTTGTTTTGTTTCATGTAATTTAAGACCACTTGAAAAATGGCAAAAAAACATATTTTGCATGGTTGGATCTTAACAAGGCTCCAACCCCAGCTTCAACATGCAACACAAAGAAATGGGAGTGAGACAAAACATTCTTTTGATCATGCAATTTAATGAAAACAACGCTTAAACTGAAACAGGCTAGACACAGTCACATACTGTAACTGAAAATGTTTCTATGTGAATAGCAGGTTGCCCTTTAACACTGACACCTTCTGAAATGGTTGTGAGATTTGGAGATCCAGTTTCAATCAACTGCAGCACATCAGCCACAGATGTTGAAGGAATGGGCTGGGAGTCTCCATTTGGAGGTACAGGATTTGAGCCTCCTCCTGTTGTCACTTGGAGGGTTGACAAAGTGGAAGAGTGGACTCCAAATCCTTTTTGCTATGTTACTTTGGTTGATGGATCCCAGTGTACTGTGAATCCAGTCATCACTGTTTATAGTAAGTACATGTGCACACACTGTTTTATTGTGTTATAAACTACATGAACTGATATTTGTGTTATAATAAAACAGTGATTTCACTTATAATGCTCAGCAGGTGTCTATTATCCTGTAATTACTCTGATTCAATTGTTAGTACGTTTTAGTCAAAATGAAAATCTATCTGCAACCAGCAACACCATTTGTGAAATAATGCATATTTTCTGTATGCTTATATTTGATTGTTTTTTTTACCCACTTTGATTTGTTTACAGAAACTCCAGATTCTGTGTCAGTGTCTGACATGGGTCGTGGTCCAATGGTGGAGGGCAGAGAGGATGATCTGAAGTGTGATGCCATCAATGTGGCTCCTGTTCAAAATCTCACAGTGACGTGGTACAGAGGCAATGAAACTGTGCTCACAGAGACATTTAATGACTCCACTATGACTCCAGTAAACGCATTTTCTACCCTGAGAATCTCCACTCAGAGAGATTACAATGGATTAACTTTTAGATGTGAGGCTGAGCTGCACCTCGGACCCAAAGGACCAAAGTTCCTCCCTAATGTAGCCTCACCTCCTTACACTGCTGTTGTTCTTTGTAAGATTCCCAACTACTTACTTCATGTTTTTGATCTACTCCACAGCTCTGTGATCTATGAAATATAAATTGATCTATTTTGATTTTAATTCCCAGATAAACCATTCATGGAATCTTGTCCAGACCACGTCACTGTTATTGAAAGTGCTGTCTTCAGCATTGACATGTTATCCTGTCAGCCTGATGGGAACCCTTCTCCCACTGTTCAGTGGTTCTATGAGGAGAAACTCATCAATCCATCGAGGTCACTGACCAGGACTGACTCAGGAAAGTACACGGCTGTTGTTGAAAACAGTCTTGGCAGAAGCAACACTTCAGTTAATATCACAGTGGAATGTGAGTGCATCAGACCTGGATCATTTTATATTTTAGCCGAATAATGATAAAACACACTGAAGTATTGACAAGATAATATTTTGTTTTCAGTTATTTACTTATTTATTTAAATGAATTCGATACCATTTTTACAGACGGTCCTTCTTTCACCTGCAAAGAGCACTATGAGATCACAGTGAATGATAAACCTCAGAGTATCTGTGAACCAGTAGGATTACCTACACCCACCCTCACCTGGTTTAAAGATGGCAAACAGGTGGTTTCCCCACAGCATTGGAAAAAGAATGATAGTGGAAAATACTTGCTTAATGCACACAACACACATGGAACAGCTGAACACACACTGTATCTTGAAATTTTGTGTAAGTTTAAAATTTTCAGAATTATATTGTCTTTTTATGATTTCTCCACAGTGAAAATATATAATTTTTGAGATAATAATATATTTTGAAGGACATTACTTACTTTCAAAATTTTGCATTTTTTCCAGATTCTCCTGAGTTCAAGGAAGGAAATGAAAGCAAGCAGGTGCTCCAGGGTGAAGATGTTACTTTAAGCTGTAGTGCTGACAGTAACCCACCTTCAAACATCACCTGGATCTACACAGCTGCTGTGAATTCAAACATGACCACTGAGGGGCGCCAGAAGATAATCACTATCACTAGAGCCACGTCTACCAATGCTGGTTATTACGTCTGTGTTGCAGAGAATAAAGTTGGAAGAAATAAAAGATTCATCACACTGATGATAAAAGGTACGATTACTGACTCTGTGCAGAACAGTTATGGAAATGTAGGAAGTAAAAAATTACTGATGTTTAATTTCAACAATGCATGGCATGATGTATTAAGTAGAAGTCACATGTTGTTTTATTTTGTTGGTCTTACAGGCAATACCAGTAAAGTCCTCTTTCCAGCCATTTGGGCTTTGCTCATTCTATTGATCATCGGTCTTACCCTCCTTGTGGTCTATTTTCACAACCGGCAGAAAAAACGTGGACAATACAGTTTTGTTCCTGTGTGCCAAATGTCTAATATAGCCAGTTGACTTTTGCACAAGCCAATGGCAATGCTTAGGATCTTTGCTGCATTCTGTTCTGCGTCTCAAACTCATTAATACAATTTAGATTTGTTAGTATTTTACAGATTAATTTCATTATTGAATTTCAAGTTACATACTTATATATGAGTCACTGATTCATTAAAAGCTAGAAAATGAAAAGCATATTTACACATAAATGGATTATGATCCATTTCTAAACTTCATAGACCTGAAAACTTTATAAATGTGCAAAACAATAAAAAGGTTACACTTGTGATGCAAAAATACTGTGTTATCCAGTGCTATGAAGCAGGAAACTGTTAACAGTAACCCATGTTGTGTCCTCTATTTGGATTAAAATCTGTTTTCATGTATTATTTTTTATTTCTTTTTCACTTTCCTCACAAGGCAGCTTCTTTTTAGTCGTTAAATATTAGAGTTTAAGTATCTCGGGGGTCTTGTTCAGGAGTGATGGGAGAAGGGAGCGGGAGATCGACAGACAGATTGGTGCTTTGGCTGCAGTGATGCGGATGCTGTACCGGTCTGTTGTGGTGAAGAGAGAGCTGAGTGAGCCAGTTGAGGTGGTTTGGGGATCTGAGAAAGATGCGTCATGGGCGCCTCATGGGTGAGGTATTCCAGGCATGTCCCACTGGGAGGCCCTGGGGCAGACCCAGGACACGCTGGAGAGATTATATCTCTTGGGTGGCCTGGGAACGCCTTGGTGTTCCCCTGGATAAGCTGGAGGAGGTGGCTGGGGAGAGGGAGGTCTGGGCTTCTCTGCTTGGGCTGCTCCCCCCCCCCCCCATGTTAAAAGGGAGTTTTTCCTTCACTCTGTTGCTAAAGTGCTTGCTCATAGGGGGTCATATGATAGATGGTTTTTTTTTTTGTCTTATGTATTATTGTAGGGTCTACCTTACAATAGAAAGTCCCTTGAGGGTACTGTTGTTAGCATGTATAAATAAAATTGTATTGAATTGAATTGAATTGAACTGAATCTCTAGCTTCAATAGTAGCTTTCTTCAATTCATGTTATTTCTTTAATTTATTTACAGTGAGACAATAGAGTGTCAAATCACAGATACGTCCATTATACGTTTATTGCTGGAAACCAGAGAACAAGGGCTACAATCCAAACATCAGAAACATGCATTACTGGTGTAAACCATAAGAGGGGAGCAAAGCTTACTTTTTGTATCCAAATAAAAATATCGGTCTTGGCGGTTTACAGATGCTTACAGCACATGCATAACAAAGGACAACCTTTTTATTCTGGATCCACCTGAGATTATAGCAGAATATGAAGGAAAGCCTCTCACTGTAAACTGCACCATCACATTGGATGAACATAAGTGGATGTACTAGACAGTTGTAAATAAAATCTTTCAGATCGAATATGAAGGAATGTTTATCTCCTGCGCAGTGCCACTGTCAGACTGGAATGACTGAAAAGGCCAAGTGCAAAATAAAGTTAAATGAGTCTCACGAAGTCAGCAAGGACTTTCAAGTTATTGTATTTAGTAAGTTTCATTTTAAATATATACAGTGCAAAGAGAAAGTTAATAATTATTAAAATAAGTAACTAACTTTTTCATCTAATGTGGTTTGCCAGAGAATCCAGAAGCTGATGATTCTGTACAGCATGTGAATGTGATGGGAGAAGAAACACAGAATTGGCTGCAGTGTGACATCATTAATGTTGCTCCGACAAATACCTGACTGTTAGCTGGTACAAAAACAATGTAAAAAAATGCAGACAGAATCTTTCAATGACACAATAAAAACACCAGTAAATGAGTCCTCTATTGAGTCAACCTCAGAAGAGAAAAATTTAGTTGAGATGTGATGTGATATGTGAAGCTCAGCTGGATTTTGGACCATACAGACCAAAATGTCACGTTTTTTCTTAAACACACAGTTTCAGCAGACTGCGAGTAAATATCCTGGCTGTCTATACAGAAAGAGAGATATTTAATTAAAATTGTTAGCATAGATTAAAGAACACGAATAGTCTCAATAACACGTGAGTAAATTGCAAAACTGCCAATTGTCTGAGAAACATAACCAAGACAATCCACGTTCATGTTGAACCAAGAGGTACACTTCCCTGTTTACCTTACATCTATGTGCTTGTGGGTTATTTAGATGATTTGACTGAATATATTTGCTTGTGAATGACAGGTTGCTCTCTAAAATTAGTACCTTCTGAAATTGTTGTGAGATTTGGAGATCCAGTTTCAGCTGCAGCACATCAACCATTTTAATACTAAAACATTGGTAAATGAATGCATGTTTTATATATTTTATGTTAAGATGATATATATTTCTTTATTTACTTTTTTTTTTTTTTTTAATATAAGACTACTGCTAGACTTTTTCCAGTCATGTGGGCTTTGCTTGCTCTGTTGGTCGTTGGCTTAATCTTCCTTGAGGTGCCTTTTTACAAATGGTAGAAAAAAACATGGTCATTACACTGTTTCTCCTGACAAAGGGCCAGTTGGTTACGAGATCCCTTTGACATCAATCAGTGCAAATGCTTAGGACACTTGCTGCATCTGAACTGCAGCTTAATGGCATTTGTAACCTAACTATTTGTCTTGCATTTCATTTATGGTTTACTTGTTTTTCCTTAAAGCTGATTTTCAGTCTTGAAACGTTGGATGTGTATGTTGGATGGCATTACTGCAACCTAAACAAGTTAAATAAAGTAGATTATTTGAAGGTGTAAAAAAATAATTTTGAGTGGTTAATCGTTTTAATCACACAGTAAGTGTCTGCCAGCATCAGTCAGAGAGTTATTTAATGTTGGAGTTTAAACTCCATGGCAGGATTCATGTGGGGAAGTGTGAGATGGTCAATTAGGGAAGCACAGAATTCCCTGAGTGTGTCGGCTGTGGAACATGCACTTCTTGCATAAATGTATCACTTTAACCAGTTAAGGGATTCAGGATGAAGCGCAGTCTCTTAGCTAGTCTCTGTGTGGTTTAGGGTGATGTCCCTTTAAGATTTATAAGGATCTGGGAGTGGTGTGGATAGGAAACCTATTTTTATCCCATATTTCCTTCCTTATGTTAATTAACCAGACCCAGATTAAAAGTTTGAGCATTCTGATTCAGTATATATGCACAAAAAGAAAAGGTGGAGCAGAGAAGTATTTACATTTGTGCTGGGATAATACTCACCACGGCTGTCCGTTGACCTTTTGGGATAACTTTGGAAAAGTATTTGGAATAATCTAACAGTTTAACCAACAAGCTGAATATTTGATTTGGGCATAGATCACTGGGTGAGTTTGTCAGCTGCTTGGCTTGTGTGTTATTGTCTGTATATCAAAAATGCAATTTTTT